TCATGGTGTCTCACCAATGCGTTGACTACATACTATAACTAGTCAATTTTCTGCCTGAGGATAGTGGTGAACTACAGTGAAGTGCTGTTTTGGTGGCCACAGTTAGCTGACAGAATAATGATGAAGCTTGGACCTGAAAATTGTTGGGGCTGTCAATTTAGGTGGGCATCCTTGTTGGTATTGTGTTGGTTTGGTGCCCAAGCCAGAAGTTTAACTTTTCTTTTGTCTGTAAATTTTAGCAAAAAAGACTGATGTCAGTTAAAGGTTCTATAGTGATAGAAAGTGTTGTTAACAGGCTATTCACCATTGTTTAACTCTGCTCAAAGTATTTCTACTCTTTCAAAAATGGATTAACAACCAACAGCTAATAGAAAAAATGTACTTTTTGCTTTAGAGTGCTCTTGTGGAAAACTTTGGATGAATGACATGACCAAAAATTACCACAGCTTGTTGGAGCAGAAACAGTTTTCTGAGCTTAGTGGAGGAGAAGGACTGCACGATCAAGTATACTCCGTACAGGATAGACTGAGACTGAGAATACCTTGTTCATAAACACCTGCAGGGACAGTCCATCATCCACTCTATTGTATCCATAGCAGCAAAGGTCAATGATTTCCCTCAGATTTTATGCCACAGAATACATCAAAACATCCATGTGTGATTATCACAGGTGTCAGCTGCTTCCTGTGCACTGTTCCATTAAGAAGGTAACTGTTTCACCATAGATTCACCTAAATTAATATAAAGCAAAAGCAGCCTCAACAATTATTGGCTTTATGCAGGTAGATATTTCTGATTACACAAACAGCAATATGATGGTTCTGAGATTTTTGTTTTACACATTTCAGTGTGCCTTTGGAATTGGGATCGAAATTAATTGAAACCCACTTCTTGAACTGACCATCCTTCACTGATTAAACTTTTCTGTTGTTTTCTGCAGTCAGCATTGCATCTTGCTCATCCCCAGCAATGGAAGTCATGGCCTGAAAACTCTGGGCTTGCTGCACACCCCATGCATCTTGAGAGGTCCTGTGGTTGCAAACTGACCTCATTGCTCTATCCTCCGTGCCAGCTTGCTGCTGCTCCTGGGCTTACCACTGGCTGTACTCCTCCTCCATCGGAGTTCGCCTTCTTAGGTAGGCAACTGAAGTGACCGACAGTGGCACCAGTGGCAGGGCCATCATTCTCTGGGGAAAGAACCAAAACAAATTTTTTTTTGGTGAATTTGGTAAGTTTGGAGGCTGAATATTGATGAAGTGATTGTGACGTTAAGAAGACATTTAACAAGTATTAAATCCCGTCAACTGGCATCTTGCCACTACCTACTGAGAATTTCACCACCCTGCTTGTGGAATCCATAAAAGATGTACCAAGATGATCTCAATATCAAGATAGGCCTCACTGGACTCCTTGTTCAACTCTGCCACACATCTCTCCAAAGCCAACATCACCCAGACCCCTATAAGATTCCACCCATTGGTTTTAAGGACTGGATCATTTCACTGTGTAAAATGACTGCCATATTTGTTTACATTCATATATTTTCTGGAGATTTAACAAGCAATACAATTGATTCGTAATTGCCTTCTGAAATGGTGGAGCCATTCCGTTCAAGGGCATTTTCAGATGGGTAACAAATAAAGCTAACTTTATGGTCTTATGGTGCAATGGTACTATCCATACCTCTGGGCCAGAAGGTCCAGATTTAAGTTCCAACTCAGGATGTCATGGCCATGGAGTTATCTAATTATGTAATATTACACTGATGTTAAAAAAAATGCTGATCTTGCCAGTGATGCAATGAAAGAATAAAGAAAACTTTATAAATGCATCTTTTTTTCGTTAGGCACAAACCATAACATAGAATCATAGAGTAATACAGCATGGAAACAAATGCTTTGGTCCAACTTGTACGTGCCAACCAGATATCCTAAACTGATCTAGTCCCATTTGTCAGCATTTGGCCCATATACGTCAATATCCTTCCTATTCTGTACCCCGCCCCATGTTGCCTTTCCAATATTGTAATTGTACCACCTCCATCACCTCCTCTGGCAGCTCATTCCTTACATGCACCTCCCTCTGTGTAAAAAAGTTGCCCCTTGGGTCCCTTTTAAATCTTTCCCCTCTCACTTTAAACCTATGCCCTCTAGTTTTGGACTCCCCTACCCCAGGAAATAGACCCTGGCTATTCACCCTATTCATACCCCTCATAATTTTATAAACCTCTATAAGGTCACCCCTCAGCTTCCTGATGTATGTGGACCCTCCTCCTCCAATGAGTTGTTTAATTGTCCACCACCATTCACAACTGGATGTGGCTGAACTGCAGACTTTATATTTGAGCCATTGTCACTTAGCTGTGTCTGTCATTTACTGCGTATGCTGTTTGGTACTCAAATAGTCTGTTTGATAACGTCATCAGGTTGACACCTCATTTTTAGGTATCCCTGGTGCCACTTCTGGCATGCTCTCTTGCACTCTTCATTGAACCAGGGTTGATCTCCTGGCTTGATAATAATAGTTGAGTGGGGGATATGCTAGGCCATAAGGTTGCAGATTGTACTGGTCTACAATTCTGCTGCTGTTGATGGCCCACAGCTTATGGATCCCCAGACTTGAGTTGCTAGATCTGTTCGAAGTCTGTCTAATTTAGCACAGCAATAGTGCCACACAACATGATGCAAGGTATTCTCAATGTGAAGGTGGCTTCTGTTCCAAAGGAAGATGTTGAAAAACAATCATCAAGTGTGTACAGCTGCCTGAAAATAAGCGTAGTGTGAGTATCCTATGGCAATCTGATGCTGCAAGTTGTCTGCTACTGCCTACTAGCCATAAAGAAACGATCAACATGGTGGGATAGATAATCATAAAGGGGTCAACCCATGCTGAAATCACAAGCACAAACAAGAAGGAGGCATGATGAGTGGAATGGGAAGTTCAGATCCTCAGAAAGTTGGTGACTTTAAATGTTCAGTATTCTTCACACTTGCAATTAGCTTTAAAAAGGCTTTCTAGGAGATACTGCACTTTGGTGTGGATTTTTGCTTCCAGGTCAGATGAGAAGAAACAGGACAATTATCAGCTCCATGAACCTGACTTTTAAAATGGTTGCCCAGCTGTCGGATTTGTTTGGAGGTGGGATGGTGGTGCATTGCTCTGGATTGGAAGGCACAGTGTGCAAAACCAGAAGAAAGACTGCCAAGTGGGAAAGACAGCTGTGCGTAAGACTACCTTAAGGGCCTGGTATTGTGTCCAAGCTATAAAAATATACAATAAAACATGGAACATTCTTTCAGCACTTGCTCTTCAACAATAACGACCCTTCTGACCCCAATGACAAAATATGTCCCTCATTCACCTTTATGGCTTCATGCTCTCCATACTAAGGTAAAACCTATTCACCTAGAATCCACCATGGGCAGACCTAGGAGTCATGCTGAAATTACATAAACATAAAGTTGAATGAAAAAAAACTCATTCATTAAAAAAAAACACATTATCCATATTAGAGATAGCAGGAACTGCAGATGCTGGAGAATCTGAGATAACAAGGTGTAGAGCTGGATGAACACAGCA